TAGGTCTGCCTCTATTCCTATTATTTCCCGTTTCTGCCTCTAATATGTCTCTGACTAGGCCTTCATGCCTGAGAATGCCTACTAACCTATCTAGGCTATTTCTTATTGACTTCCGTAGAGTCCTCTATTCTCCTATTCTGCCTAATACGTCTTCATTTCCAACCTTCTCTATCCACGGTATCCTCATTACACCACATTTCGAACGCTTCTAACCTTTTTTTTTTTAGTTGTGATTTATTGGGATTTTAAAATTAAAGTTGAAAAATAAAATCAGTCAATGAGATTATAAATTCAGTTACAACGATACCAATTTTTTCGTATTGCAAAGTAATAATATTCTTATAACGGATCTCGAAATCTTTTGATTCAAAATTATACCACTGCGATCTGCGGTCCGCGACTTCCAGACAAAATCTCACGACGATCGTCGAGCATACCAAAACAATTCTTTAAGGCGACTACGACCTCTTCGCTGTGCGTCGCTCCGATGGATGAGCTAGTGCACGAAAGTCACGGAATGTCATTTATTATGTTACAGGATTTCAACAGTTGATAAGAAGGATGAGTATCGGGTTACCATGCGGGGCAAACTGCTAATGAGCACGATCACTAATGCCTGTCTCTTTTATAAGTATACATTTTATTTACTACACTGATACAAGATGTTGATTAAGACGAAGTTTACAAAATAATGGATGCTTGGTAGACATGTAAATTTATAATACAGTAAAACCTCTTTAAGTCGAACCTTGATAAGTCGAAAACCTCCATAACTTGAAAAATTAAATTTGACCTGTGTATTAAGAATATCATCATCATAACAAGGTCGTCAGTCCTAAAACTAGAACATCCCACATCCTTAACTATTTGCGAACAGTAATCTAATCTAGGTCTACCTCTACCCCTCCGAACTCCTGTTTCTGCTTCTAGTATGTCTCTGACTAGACCTTCATGCCTGAGAAGGTATCCTACTAATCTATCTCGCCTGTTTCTTATTGACTTCCATAGAGTCCTCTAAAACTCGAAAAAATATTTTGTTTCCTTCCCTTCAATCCCGAAAACCTCCATTACTCGAAATCTCAACCCTCTATTAGTCGAAATTATCAGTGAACATAGCAATTATTTATTTTACAACCTTTACAACTGGATAATTTGAAACTTGTTACATCTGTAGTTTGAAGAAAACTAAGGAATTTAAGGATTTTCAGATAATGTAGAATGAATCTTAAATTGTACAAGTCGAATCAATATCCGCGTAATTCAAAATCCTCCATAAGTCGAAAACTCTATAACTCGAATTTTTTGGCGTCTCCCTTGATGTTCGGGTTATAGAGATTTTACTGTAATTATTATTTTAAGCTGTTTGATGGCACATCACATTACAAAAAATATAAAAATCAAGTTGTCATATAAAAAATATCCCAAACATTCGTAAATACAACTATCAAATAAAATGTTGAAGATTGTCAAATTTATTTTGTTTCGCTCATCAGAACATTTACCCATTTCTTTCAGTACTTAAAAATGTATAAATTATTTGATTATGTTACAAAATCAGCGAAGACATATTCCCAGGTATACACAAACACATTCAGTGAGTTCTCGTACATAGTATCATGTGGTAAAAATGCACTTCAAAGTCAGTATAAAGCATTGGTCAATATACCATCAGTAAAAATTAATATGTTTCAACTGATTAATGATTCCACATTTGCAACCGATTTGAATTTCGGTAGCGAGTTAAACACCTCAAGAAGTGTACCATCAGATGCTACGTTTTATAGTTCTAAGCCAAAATTTCCTGAGAGCCAGGGTGAGCTGAAAATACGTTCGTGCAATTGTTGTGAAGTTAAGAAAGCTGATAATGAAGAGATTTCAAATGAGTTACCTGACCAAATAAAAGACAAAAGCCTCAATTGTTCCCCTAAACCAGAAAAGTCCCATGTAGTAACATGCAACGAAGTCAAAAAAAACTCAAAGACGAATATACAGGATCGATTAATTTGTAAGGATTTCACACGTTTCAAACCTCAATTGCCACACAACCAGTTCAACACAAACATAAAATCGGAACTGTTTGACTTGCTCCAAAATTTGATAATTTATCGTCATTACTCATCGAGGAATAACGAAATTCAAATTTCTAAAACTAATGTGGACTTTGTCCAAAATGGAAAACATTCGAAATTAATTTATTCCTGTAAAATTTCTAGTAAGTTAGAAACTGAAAAGCACGAACAGGTATTTAATGAAAAAATTAATAAGACATCTAAAAGTGAAACAACTTTAGACGCATCTTTAAACAAATCTCACTTTTTGGCAAATAAAGAATGTAACCCTCAGCAAACGTCACAGGATAATCATCAATTTAAATCGTTAAAATTTAACCCAGCAGTGGTTTTTATGGATACCCTATTTCATCCAAAATGTAGATTAATGGAAACTTATGAAGTCCGAACAATAGACTTTAAAATTAATAATAATGGCAGAATGTACAGGATAAATTCACTTCATAACGACGATATGACGAAAAGGATAAGTGATACAGATAATAAAAAAAATTATGACCATAAAAGAAGAAATAAATTTGAAGTAGCAAAGGCAGCAAATAGAAGCAGTTGGAATATTTCTAAAAGGAAATCGGAGTACAACACCCACTTTTCAAAATCGAATCCAGGAGACAAATCCAGATTACCAGATCAACTAATAAAAATTTATGAACCTCAGACCTTCCAAAGTAAGAAAGCAAAATCGAATCGTCCAACATATAGTAACGTTAAATGTTATTTCGTGCAAGCACCTTCCTCCACAGGCAGCTGCATGGAACCAACATCAAAACTCAAATTAAAAATCAATGATGCTGACCCAAGTGAGGTTAAGAAACTAGGACGGGTTGCTATAGAACGGATTGAAACTGCGAAATTATTGAAAGTGAATTTGAAGCAATTCCATAAATTAGAAAGAGAAATTCTAAGGGAAACTGTCAGTCAAATGCACTTTTTAAAAGATATCGAAAATTTTCGGAATCAGTACTATACAGTGTCACGGGAAGACATGCAAACAGTAACAACTGATGAGATGAATGTTCAACGCAAAAACAATGCTATGATAATTGAAATGAACCAAGAAGATTTCAGAAAAACCGATGCAAAGGCAAATATGCTGAAAGTTACATGCACACAGCAATAACTACGTACTAATAAATATTCGTTGTGTATGCGAATTACATATGTAAATATCTACAGAAATAGTGAGTTTTTTTATAGTTGTTCACAAAAGTAGAATAAATATGTCACCTGATTGAGCTATATAGCTGAAAATTTGTGGGTATATAAATACTAGAAAATATTATTGCTGTATTATTTTTAGATTTAATAAAATCCAGTAAACATTCAATTGCTTTCTTTTTATACGTAAGTAGGTATAGTGAAGTTCACTCATAAGGGCGTCAAACGAAAACTAAATCGGAACATCGTCATCATAAGGTCATCAGTCCTAAGAGTAGTTGGCCACGCACCTCCACTCTTTTCTGCCCTAAGCTAATCTTCGCATTTCCTTAAAACATCCCACATAAACAGTAATCTAATCTAGGACTACCTCTACTCCTTTTAACTCTTGTTTCTGCTTCTAATATGTTTCTGACTAGCCCTTCATGCATGAGAAGGTGTCTTACCAACCTATCTCGCCTATTTCTTATTGACTTCCGTAGAGTCCTCTGTTCTCCTATTCTTTTTAATACTTCTTCATTTCTAAGCTTCTCTATCCTCAAATCTCGCCTGTATTACCACATTTCGAACGCTTCTAACCTTTTCTCTTCCGCCTCACCCACCGTCTATGTTTCGCACCCGTACAACGTCTCGCTCCAAACAAAAACCTTTAACAATCTTTTTCGAATTTCAAAATTACTGTTCGCGAGCATAGAAGTGACCTCTTTTTATTGAAGGCGACACGACCCTGCGCTATCCTCAGCTTTATATCCCTACTACTCCTTCCGTCCTGACTTAGATACCTAAAATCAGTCAATTCTTCTAATCTTTCGTCTCCTATCTTTGTATTCGCTCTTTTCCTACTTCTTCTTCCCTTGCATACCAGCATTTTTGTTTTACTTTTATTTATTTTCATATAATACTCTTACAATCGGATGCAAAAGAAATAAAGCATAAAATTTAGGATAAACATTTTTTGCTATAGTGGAAACATAGAAACATTATAGGTTTACATGAAATCTTCTTTGTTGCTTTTGGATCGGTCAACATGAAGGGAAAACAGCTTCGATTTTTTTAATGTTTTCGTGGGAGAGGGGAAATCTTCAAAAGACACCCAGCCGTCCGCACGACTGGGTAGTGTTGGATTCCCGAGGAAGAAGTCCTCGGATCTACCGACTAAAACCCCTCTACCTCAGGCCGTTCTAGGACCAACTAGGGTCCTCTTCAGCCGATCAGCTTCGACGAACTGGCACGTTTACGTAGCATTTCCTGTGGAAGAAATCAACTGTATTTCATTACCTTCAGCACTAAGTGCAATTGTCTTATTTTTGTTTTCAATCCTTAATTTATTTATTAGGCAACTATTATTACTCCCTAGGTTTAAGTGGTGAACCCCCTTACCCTTTTTTATTCTACGAAATCACGCTCCGCCGCCCCTGAGAAAAGCTTTGACTAGATATCTCAATTTTGAAACAAAATCCAAAATAGTATTTGTATGCTGAGGCTAGGATATTTCAAAATTTTCGACCATATTCAGTCTGTGCGACAAAAGATATGCTAGAAATGAATAATCCCTTGGTTGTTACGTATTTTTACTCTCCACTATTGAATTTATTGGGTTTTGAAGTTATTACTATGGGAGAAATTAGAGATTTTCCTGAGGGGGGGCGGCAGATTTTCAATAGCTGTAAGTTTATATAGGTAGCAGTGCCCCCTTGCCCTTACCTATCTAAACCCATAGTTATCACGAAACTGTAGAGATAAGGTATTCGCTAGAAATAAATTCAAATTTAATAAAAGTTAAGATATATTTATTGCCGAACGAATTCGTACGTACATCAACTGAGAATACGGTACATAAGGTGAATGTGTTATTTCTTAATTGGTTGACAAACTTTCGATTGTAATTTATTTTTCTGTCATATGTAGATGTCAAATATTCTGCGTTGTATGATATCATTTCATGTTTTGTCGGTGAAATAAATGATAAGGGAATGATGTTACACCTGAGTTAACTATATGTGCAAGTCATTATATGCATCACCGCTTTTCTCCGTCAACATTATGAGATCTTCAATTTTCTTGACTACTGCATTTGTAGTACGATTAACAATATCAATTTCTTTTGGCTTCGATTGTATCAGCTCAATGTTGTAATCGAAAAAACATCCCGAATTTTCTAGTATCTTCAAGCAGTTCTGATTGAGCAACATGTTTCGGATTACTTTCTTTTCAAGTTTGCAAAATTGCTTCATATTTGCATCGAGTAATTTAGCCTCTTCCTGTGGACTAGATTCAGCATTGGCTACTTTTTGTGCAAAAATGGTAACATCTTTCATCAATTCTCTTCGACTTTGATTCTTAGAATCCCTTTTTGGATATGGATAAGTCTGCTCATTGAAATTTCTTCCAAGACCGCACTGCTGTATGGTTTTTAATAATTGGAAAATAATTTTCGAATTGGTAACGAAAGGATGTTTAGTGGAATCATCATCCACGGGTTGTTTGTTTGTGATGAAAAAAGAAAAGAAGTTCCACAGGGCATTTAGTTCTTCCCTCTTACTGAAATCAGGGATATGTCGCAGTATGCTAAGATTGAAGAATTTCTCCAAGGTGCTTAAATGGATATATTGTTTCGGAATGACTCTCAGATAAGGATTAGAAATTATAAGCATGTGCTCAAATGTACAGTGTATTTTACCGATTCTGACTAGTTTAGATGTAGCATTAAATTGCCTCTTCTTTTTTATTGTATTAGTTGGTTTAATACTTTTGATCGTATCTCCACTTGACATCTCTTTTTTGTAGAAAATCGATCCAAACTGATTTTCATATTGCAGTTTAATTAATTCGCACATTATTTCTTTTTGTGTTCCCTCATAGTTGATAATATTTATTAATTTGTCTTCGATAAATGAACGTACTATTTTTGATTCAACTGCGTTTAACATTGCATTATAACCAGTAAACTTATATACGCGGCCTGAAGCCAATTTCATGAAGTATTCGATTTGTGACTCCATATTGTGTACAATTTTATCGCCATTACTGTTATTGAACGAGACATTGTAAGCGTCTACTTTGGTTAGTTCCATATTACTATTTTCATGAATAAGGCTTTTGTTCACCTTTTCGACTATTTTTGAATTGAGTTTCGAAGAATCGTAACTGACACAATATTTGGAAGGCAAAAAGCATTCGTTCGATTTAGTAACCAAAGGACAACTTTCGTTATTTTTTACTAAATATAAACATTCATTTAATTGCGGATCTTTTCTACTCGATGGAGGGTAGTACTTTTTCATAATGATGCTGGGTTTCTTTTCAACACTTTGCAGTATATTTGTGTAGTAATTTATTTTATCTACATCAAAACCTTCTTTATTACATGATTTTTGTAAATCTGAAACTAAAAGTTAATGTTTAAGCGTGTGTAGAAATTGCTAAGGTGTTTAATGTATTTTATCGTATTCTATCGACTTTCTTGTTTAGTTCTAACGCAAATCCTGGCCTAACAGTATTTTAATTTACAGCATTAATTTTGAATTACCTCGTTTTTCATACTTATTGCTTAACATATTGTATAAGTTCTTTTTGAAATCAAATCCATGTTTGTTTTCAGTTACACATTCACTTTCTACATTAACTTCATAATAATTCTTCAGACTTTTATTATCAAACTTAAATTGTTCTTCTTTTCGATCTACAATATCCAATTTTTCCTCTTTGCTATCATCATTGGAGTAATAAATTTCATCGTCTTTTCTGTCCCATTGACAATTTCCAACTGGATTTATATTCGATGCAGAAAAATAGAAATCAAATATAGAGGCCACTGGGTTTGAAAAAACTTGAGCAATTAGTGAAGCTTTTTCGTTATCTCTTCTGAGTAAATGAGAGCAGTCTTTTGAAAACAAAGTTAGTTGTAAATCTTTTAAAATGCTTTGGCCAACTTTACCTTCTGCGTGATTTAATTGCTTCAGTAGTTGGTGTGATGACTCATTATTAATAAAATTGGCATTTGTGATTTTTAAAATCGTTTGAAGGACACTTTCATGGTTGCTACCTTTTACTAGCAAATCCTCGATGGAATATTCTACAGTAGGTGAGTCGTCGGTGTTTTCGTCTTGTTCAATCGGTTCTTCAGTTTCAGCTTTTTCTTCTTCTTCTACTTCTCCTTCTCCTTCTCTTTCTTGTTCCTCTTCCTCTCTCTCGTCCTGCTCTGATTCCAGTCCCTCCAAGAAGTTATCCAATTTCCTAAACTGCTCTTCGTTTACCTCCAACACTTTAATTACATTTTCATAATCATCTGAAGGGAAATAACGAAGAATATTTGTTTCATTCCTTAAGCCTTCTGTCTGAACCGAATTCTCATCATTATTTGCATTTTCACATATAACTGTTAAAGTTTGCGATTCATTGGAGGGTAAATTCGCTTCTTCAACGAGTTGGCCGTTCTCAAAAATATCCTTTAGTACTTTTCTTAACTTGAAAATACGGAAATCGGGATATAATTGTCTAATATTGTTAAGTCCTAATAAGTTATTTAATTGAAAATTTTTTTTGTAGATTTTAAGTTTACTCTTGACCGCTTCCTGTTTTTCCTTTGCAATAACTTTTTTAATAAAGAATCCTTCCATTTCTTCTCGAAAAGTGGAAGAAAATTCATCATTAGCCGAAGAATTTACTGTTAATAAATTTTCTGCTTGAGGCAATGTATCTCTGTCACCGTATACTAAACCAGCAGTTGACTTTGTTCTTTCGGCTGTATCAATAACTGGTTGGGTTGTGTCCTTTTCAGAAGAGGGTTCGTCCAATATAAAGGTCTGTTCTATATCCACGAAACTGTTGAACTCAGTAAATCTTGAATTCATTGCCACTAACATGTTTTCTTCTTCACAAGAAGCATCTGTATGATCTATTTTCTCATTAACTAGTCCATTCTGAATTTGCGTTATACGAGAGTAGATGTTGTTCAAAAGACGCTTACTCAAATACGAAATATACTCCGTGTTCGCCAGCAAGCATTTTGCGAGTTTCATTCTGGAGGAATTATTTAAATATTCTTGTTTAAGAGGAAAAATTGAACGTTCACAGCAAATTTCTACAAATGTCAGTTTATTTTAGTTGTCATTCTCGTCACATATTAATTATTATTACCCAGAGATGGCCATGGGATTAAACAATTTGCTTTTACGATTAGACAAAAAAATAGTGGCTTCAAGAACATTTGCAAATAAGTGGATACCTTTGCTCTGTATACATGCATTTTACAAACTTTAAACATTTCTATCCTTCTGATATTTTCCTCCTCCACAAGATTTTCTTCGTCCTTTTTACACCATCCTTACCATCCATTTGAATTTTCCATTTTTTATAAGGATTCCGCGGAACACCATTTAGGAATCGCTGATATTATCTATATATTTGTGCTTAATATGTTTTTTTATAAAAAATACATTTCTCTAACGTTCAATTCCTTTAACCATCGTGAAAGTAGAAGTTCTTCGAATTAAGCAAATAGTCAAATCCGATTCAAACTAAACACGTCCCTGACGAGGTTGGTCAACTGAGTGAGAGCGCGTCCCTTTTCGGATCATGACGTCATTGGCGCTAACAACAGCAGATCCCAAGAAAGTAACAAATTTAAACTTTAAAGCAGTATAGGTCAACATTTTGTATATATAAATACCTATCAAATGCCAATATGGGTAATATTTTCTAATTTTATAGAAAATTCGTTATTGTAGGGCTGTTCGGAAAGTCATTTCGTTTTTTTTTTTGTGGAAATGAAAGACAGTTTTCGTATAATAAACAAATACTATATTAAATTATATATTGACCGTTCTGGTCCAACACCTTTTGCCATCTTTCTGGTAGTAGCATAATTCCACGCTCATAAAATTTTTGGTCTTTGCTGGCAAAAAACTGATCGAGGAGGTTTTTGACCTCCTCATTTGAGGTGAAGGGTTTACCGTCTAAAAAATTTTGGAGTGACCGGAACAGGTCTGGAGAATATGGTGGGTGTAGCATTGTATCCCATTCAAGCTGTAAAAGCTTTTGGCGAGTGACCAAACTTGTGTGAGGTCTCGCGTTGTCTTGGTGAAACACTACACCTTTCCTGTTGATTAGTTCTGACCTTTTCTGTTGAAGTGCATCATTCAGTTTGTCCAGCTGATGACAGTAGACTTCCGAATTAATCGTTGTTATCCGGTAAAAGCTCAAAAAAAAAAAAACGATTCCTTTAAAATCCCACCAAACAGACATCATCACCTTTTTTTGGTCAATATCGGCTTTGGAAATGGTTTGAGCCGGTTCATCTTTTTTGCTCCATGACCTCTTGCGTTTGGCGTTGTTGTATACAACCCATTATTCGTCCCCAGTGATGATGCGCTTCAAAAACGGATCATTTTCGTGAAGTTTGAGAAGCGAATCGCAGACGTCAATGCGGCGACACAGATTTCTCTCTGTGAGAACATGGGGAACCCATACATCGAGCTTCGAGGATAATCCCAGGCCTTTCAAGTGGTCATAAACTGTTGAATTTGATAAATTTAACCTCAATCCGATCTCACGTGTTGTTATTCGCCGGTTCACATCAACTAATGCCTTTATCGCGTCTTTATCAGCTTCAACCGGCCTTCCCGAACGTGGTGCAACTTCGACATCAAAATTGCCGGATCGAAATTTAGCGAACCAGTTCTGGCACTGGCGTACTGTCAACACACCTTCTCCATACACATCAGTCAATTTCTTTCTGGCTTGAACAGCATTTTTACCCTTTCTGTAGTAAAACAGTAAGATATGTCGAAAATGCTGCTTATCGCTCTCCATATTTAAAAGGGCACCAACCAAAAACTACTGCGTAGAATTAATTGGAATTTTTCACACACAAGCCTTGCTATATGAGCTCTCAAAGCATATGAAAATTATACGGCTTAAATGTGAAGTTTCTTTAATACCTCATGAATAGCTTTTATCGTAATAAATATCGGCAGTATTTACAGATTTTTATTAAAATTATAGATTGTACAAACTTTGATCTATTAAAGATAAAGTATCATAATGGTTATTGCGATTTATAGTACATTGGTGCAGTAGTGATGTTGTATGGCTACTCTTGAAAGTATATACGAGTGGCATTATATTACAAAATGCTCTAAAAACGATGTTTTTACTTTTTTCTTTTCATTATTGTAACCCCTAATCATTTATGAATTATGTCATTAAAACTAAATTGAAATTAAACACAAGAGCAAATGGTAGTTATGAATATGATACTTGTTTGTGCATGTTGTTTAAGAAATTAATCTGTCAATCAAAGTTCTATTGTACGTTATACAAGTCTCTACTATCATTTTCTTTGATAGTGCTAGTAAACCGTGCATATTTTAGCGAATTAAATTAATTGACTTTGTAATAATTATAGGGGTGTTTCTTTGTGTTAGATCACCCACCTTATTTTCACGTGAATGCAAACTTACTATGGAATTATATTTACCGACCGTTTTTCATTAGCTAGAGAAATATCTCGTACTATGTCGTCTATTAAGCGTTCATCTGACTTAACGTTATTTTGCTTCTCGCCCATTACAATCCCTGTAATCTTTAAACTATCGGAGCAATCTGTAAAATCACTGACGTAATCAACATTGTGATTCTCTACGAGCTTCTCGAAAGACTGAAGGTAGTAATCATTTGCTTCCAAAGATGTTGAGTCGTTTTCATGATTTACATCCAACATCCAATCGGCGTAATTTTTCCTCAATAGTACGAGGCCCACACCGTCACCACTGTTTTTAATTATTTCGTAGTAGCACACGTGGTAACATGGTGTGCTCTGTTTGGCCATGTTGGATGAGTTCTGATTCGAATATTTCAAATTATCGATATGGTCTTCGAGATTAGTGAAGAATTTTTCTTTGACTAAGTTCTGCAGCTCATTTTTCGTACGGTTGGACGTATCGTGTGTTGAAATAGCAATCATGTCTGCTGAGGAGTTTTTAAATAGTAATATGTTGGATTTTGGACTGTTTTTAACACTTCCGTTCGAATCAGTTGCTTCGTATGTGCCTGTACAACAGTTGCATCCATTATCCACATACTTAATATCTTCCAACATATTCGTCTGCTCATTTTCATCAGTTTTGTTCGAATTCGCACGTTGTTTGAATAATGCAGTCCCGTTTTGTTTAGCCTGATGAATAAAATCATCCAGAATACATTTACTTAAACGTATAATTTGCTTAACATCGTGGAAACAAAGTTTTACGAATTTCATCGTAATTAATGTACGTACCCAGGTATTAAAGAAAAATTTGAATTTCACTGTAAATTTAAGGAAATGTCAATTTGATGTTATTATTTTAGTTTAACGTCAAAAGTAGCCCTCGATCAGTGGTAACTAATACGTTTTTGATTATAAATGATTTGTAACGACAGTAACAGTCGCCAACATAAATCAGAAGAATTAGACCGGAGATCTCTTCGTTCTTATTCGAAATTCGTGATCATTTTGTGACGCAGATGCAAAATTCAAAACTAGTTCGTTGAAAGATATGTGAGAAACTGCCTTGTAATAAATACTTATGTATTAATGTATTATAGTTTTGCTTTGATAATTACTAGCTGACTAAAAACAACTTACTTAGGTTAATATTTTCATCTACAGTTAGGACATTCAAAATTGCCATAGTCCTCAATAAAACTACCGCATTTATTTACATCTTTCAGTTTACATACTAACTAGACTAGAGACGTTGCTCACATAACGACTATTTTTACTCACGACAGACATTATAGGGAATATACATACATACATAAGGGAGATGTCATGTAGGAATTGCAGCGGACACTCATAAACAAAAGAGAATAACATTACACCAATTGATGAGCAACAGAAAGAGATGCACGTAAACAGAATTTGAGCATGTTGCCAGTATCAGACTTCAAAGAATGTTCAACATTCTCAGGAATTTAAAAAAGACGCTTGCTTAACGATTTAATTCAAACCAGGCAGTAATAAAACCGGTGATGCTGAATTCCCTCCCGCAGGTACTTTTGGTTAAAATATAGATGTCGAATTCCCTCCCGGGTACTAGCCGAGTTCCCTCCCGTTCATATCAACTCCGATAATTAAGTTGACGACTACTTACCGATTTTATTTAATAATTTTAGAAAAAAAAGACATATCAGTTATGAAATGTTTATTTATTTAATTTTAAAATGGTTTCCCACTACCTTAACAAATTCAATGTTTGGTAATTCGTGTGCGTCTAGCTTTTTAATGCAATCATCCAGAAAAAACTTTATTAGTTTTAGTTTGTCTTGTATTTGACCAATAGAAGGGTAGTCTGATAAAATTGTTAGTGTGGTATCTATAATATATGAATAATATTAAGATTAATATGTGATGTGAGGCTGTATTATTTAAACAACTCTTTATGACTTTATAGTGGTAATTAGCACTCAAGGTCCGCCGCCTTTGGGAGGCAATTGATGTATAATTAGGAGGGAATTCGACATAGCGAAAATTTTAACCCTAATTAAAAACAGGTATATGAGAGGGAACTAGGCATTATCCAATAAAACCAACCCCTGATCTTTTGCGTACCTAAGCAACCTCTAACTGCGGCACCACTTACTGTTATTCGGTTAAGTCTTTTCACTTTGTCTGTTCTACCCATGAAGCATTTCCTAACTTAACAAGGGCGTGTTCGAAACGCAGCAAATGACTGCAGTCCCAAGTATAAACATTAGAAAAGAAAATACGTTGATTCTCAAAGACAATTTTCATCGTCTCAGATACACTTTTTCGACGCATATTTGGTGGTGATCGACTTGTAAATCCAAATGTACACCAACTGGATAAATATCGAATATTATAGGATAAAACATTAGTGAAAATACCGTAATATACTCACACATAAAAGTTTTCGTCCATTTTAGAACGTTCTCAATTGTTTTGATCTTTTTTACTCTAGAACATTCTACCTAAGGGCCACCCTATAAGTATTCTAGAATATTTTGGTACATTCTTACTTATTGGCTTATGGTCGACTCACAAGCGCACACACCTACCCCTAAACTGGACAGATCGTGAACATTATTGTACTTTTTTAGAACACTTTCGAAATATATAAAATGCTCCAATATATGCATATGGTCGAGAACAATTCTAGAAACAATCGAGAACATTCCAGTAGATTCTCACTTATTCTAAGAGTCTCTAGTGGCAAGCGGTCGACTCGCAAACCCATACCGCCATCAAACTAGAGAAATATTGAACATGGGAGATTCCAAACGTTTTTCAAACACTGGTAGAAATACATATATAAAACTGCTTCAGATACCAGCCCTACCACTCTCATGGTCTTTGAACATTCCACTGTGTTCTGGATTCTTCCTGTCCAGTTAACTCTAGAACATTCTGTCTGAGAACAAACCTAGACATTCGAGAATATTCTAGTTGAGGAGTGCTCTAAAAACATTCAATAACATTGTATCACATGTTTACTTATTCTAAGCAGGTGTTTGACATCGGTATCAACACCCAGTACTAAACTGGAGAAATATCGATAATTATCAGAGATTTCAAACATCCTTTAGAACGCTGGAAAGACATGCGTATAGGTAACACAGGATAATGAATTCATCGATTTGAAGGAATAAGAATAAAAACAGTTTAAAACAAAACATACTAATATTATTGTTTGTAAACATTTTATCATTTCGATTCCATAACTTTTTAGTCGTGGAGACAGTAACTATTAGTTATAAATTATTTTCTTCACTACAAGTGGTTTCATTTCGTGTGTCCGTGAACCTGAGGAGACCAAACCTGTTTGGAAAGTTATTCTCTGTATATATATGTGTGTGATGTTATAGTCCGCAAAAAGCGAGATGAATAACTTACGTTGGTACAAGAATTTTATTATCATTGGTCAGTAACCTACTAAAAGAATAATTTTTACTCACAAACCAAATAATCTATTAGTCACATTTCTATCAAAAGTAACTACAGCAGACACTAAATTCCAATAGTCAGTAGGCGACCAAATCTACTTTTACTTGATAGAAGTTACTTTAAATGTTAGATCAACATTTTGTAAAAATGAGTATTTAAAAAATTATAATTATCAAAATCAGATTGAAGGAATAAAAACATTTAACATAAACACAAATTAAATGGTTAGTATTTAAATATATTTTTGATTTGTACCTATTTGATATCCTACTTTATTGAAGGGTCTAACCTTTTATTTAATAGAGTAGCATATATGCAATATATTAGCAGTGTTTTTTCAAGACATCCATTTCTCGAACTTTCTGGAGTTTTTTTTGTATTGAACTTCATGTGTGTGTATGATGGTGATAATTTACGATCCCTACATGTGATAAAAAGATGCCTACAATTGATCGCCCACCGTGCTTGGCCATAACAGTACCTTTTCCTTAAGGACGATCCATCCCGAATCATATTCTGCCCTTTCCTTGAGGGATCGTGCTGGTACTTAAAGTTCTGGCATTTTTACCATTCGAACGTCAACCCGCTGTGCTTAGCCATAACACTTCCTCTTCCTTAAGAATGATCCGTCCCGAATCATATTCTGCCCTTCCCGCGAAGGATCGTGCCGGTACTTAAAGTTCTGGCATTTGTAGCATTCGGACCTCAGTTGAAAGGAGCAATTCACCATCCTTATCAATTGTAAGGGTTCTTGTTGTGGATTAGTAGTGCATACCAATATCTTCACTCCAGTCCAATTCATACGATTGAGCCCTCGTCTTATCTTTTAGATCTGCTAAATCTTCCTTCCATTGCTGAACTCGTCTTGCAGCTCCGGTAGCCAGATTAACCTCTTTTTAATGACCACAGCGGGTGCGTCACACAAAAATCTTCAGCGAGCACTCCTGCAAGGAGGAAAATACGTTTTGCAGTCTTTCAGCACTAACCCAAAATCTGTATTCGGTTTACTCGGCGTAGCCATAAATTCCTTGTACCTACTAAGAATCCAAGAAACAAGTTTGCATGGTCACCAGCATATGGAGCCTTCCGATTGAAATTGACCATTATGTTATTAATATATGATTGCGTGGGCGTCAATATATTCATAGGTTGGTACTGACCGAAGTCCACATATGTTTATGGCATACAATATAAGCTACCCCCGAGAGTTGTGAGTTACATCGTCATCACTACAGTCAAGTAGAGTGAACGTAAGTCACAACCAACATATGTTTGTGGCATACGTTCCAACTTATTTCTAGCATGAAAGAGAATATATGCCGTATGTCTATGAGTCTACCTGCAATCAATCAATAAAAATTCGATAATACGTCCGAATTTCCCTTTGATGCACGAGTGATTGGGTATGCGACATCGTTGATTCGTTTGACAGTTCATATGAATTTTATCAATGCCGTTGTAGTTTCGATGATATACCCCATATGATGCTTTGGATTGTATAAGTTCACCACGTCATCCTCCTGGAATCCTTCATTCATGCAGTCACTGGGAACGTACATCTTCTTGAATATCCTCAGGTTGTTGTGGAGCTCGCTGACGTAATCCTCTCCAGCAAGTCTTCACGAGATGTACAACTTAATTTTGAGATCACATGTTGGTCACATTTCCCGAACAAACAATATTTTCTATACTTATTAAATTATTATAGCTAGTGATTAGTTTTTCTTCTCTGGTAGAATTATCCGCTACTGCTGGGTACTCGGCGTCATTATCCTGTACCCGGCCGGATCCTAAAAAGAGTGTCGCATCCGACGAGTACCGGATACAAACCCGACTCATCTCTAATTTATTGCATTAGAATATATTTTCATTTCTGATCTAATCGAATAAAATTGAAATGATTTTCTTGAATATGACGATCTATCTAAGGAGTGCCTTAAAATTTCTTTAAACTTTTTGTATTCCATTACAAAATGTAATTATGTAACATAGATGTTAGAAATTTATTTTTCTTAAATTTTTTTGAGTTGCTGAACTTTAAAGAATGAAGGAACATCACTGTGGGAAATTTGTCTTTAAACAAAACGTTTCTACATAAGTACTGCAATTTTTATTGTCACCATTTGAAAAACAAGTTAATTTAATTTCTCTTTGTTTGCTTTGCACTGATGCTACTTCTAGTAATAGTATCTGCTAAATGTAGAAGCGCACGATTAAATTGAGGTTTTCGCATGTGTGATTTTTCATTGGCTTGTAGATGGTGAAAGTTTATTTATTAAATTACTTACTTAGTCAGCTTTAAAAGCTTTCTCCACAATGCTACCACATATTATTGCCAGACGAATTAATACCTTATACATACATGTATGAAAGTGAGTGAACAGGTAGATGAACGTGTTTGTTCTGAAATTGACGACTTAAAGATCTTGAGAAAGGACACTATTATTAAACATATACATACTTTTTATGAGATAAGAAAGTTTACTTTTTCTTTAATAAAAAAAATATTCCTAATTTATCCCTACTGTTTTATATAGCAATTGAAAGTAAATGAGTTAGCCTTTTATTTTTTAAATAATTATCGAACATTAATTTCTCCATACCACAAAATTCATCACCGTCATAAGGTCGTCGGTCCTAAGACTGGTTGGACACCCACCTCCACTCCTTCCTATCCTGAGCTAATCTTCGCATTTCTCTAAAACTAAAACATCTCCTATATCTTTAACTAATTGCGAATCTAATCTAGGTTTACCTCTACTCCTCATAACTCCTATTGCCGTCTCTAACTAGACCTTCATGCCTGAGGTGTCCTACCAACCAATCTCGCCTATTTTTTATTGATTTCCATAGAGTCCTCTGTTCTCCTATTCTTTCTAATACCTCTTCATTTCTAACCTTCTCTATCCACGGTATCTTAATCATTCGCCTGTAACAACCCATTTCGAACGCTTCTAACCTTTTCTTTTTCGCCGCGCCCACCGTCCATGTTTCTCACCCGTACAGCGCCGCGTTCCAAACATACACCTTTAAGAATCTTTTTCGAATTTATAAATTAACCGTTCGAGAGCATAAAAGTGACTTCTTTTAATTGAGGGCAACTCGACCATGCGCTATCCTCTGCTTTAAATCCCTACTAGTCCTTCCGTCCGAACTTATCTGATTTCCTAGATACCTAAACTCAACCAAAAAATTTGTAAAATTTGTCCCTCGCCTCGAATCGAGTCCGAACCCTTAGCATTACGCACCAGTACTCTTACCTTTAAGGGTTCGATTCCCGGCAAGGGTGTTACAGTAGCAACAAATCTATTCCTCATTAAGTTGAGGTAATTTGTGGTAGGAAGAAATTAACTTGATTTCACATTAATGTTTCAAAGACTTTTTTTTGTTTATTACCAGCTAGTCCCTTACAATGAAAAACGTTAATTTTTTTTTAAGTATGTAAAGTTTATTAGAAGCTTCAATAAAATCTCAGAGTGAGAAAACAATATCAGACCAGTAAACGAATACAAAAAAGTATTCAAAATTACATTGTTTCTTCGACGGTAGCAAGAGTTTGATTGATTCTTATCATCAACCATGAGTTAACTTTTTAAATTAATAACGCACTTCATACCCAGAGAAGCCTAAAATTTTCAGACATTTTTGCTTGTAGCAATTTTAAAAAGTGCTCAAAATTCCACCAAGATGTCAATTGTTTATATCGTCAAAAAATACAGAAGGTTCAATTAATGTCTTGCTCCCTCCGAAAAAATATACCTAACAGTCCACCCCTACTACTACTGTAAGGACTTTTTAATGAAACTGTGTAATTGACAAAGTACTTTTTATTTGTATATAATATGAAATGTCATCAAGGACCTAAAAATAATTAACAATAATTACACAGTCAGAAAGTATACGATAATAGTTTTACTTTTTCAGATGCCTGAAGTCCAGCTGTAAATCTTTAGCCCATTCCCTGTTTAGCCATCTTATTAAAAGAACAGACAGACAGGTAAGAGAAAATTCAAAATTTGATTAAAAAGGTTTTTTAAAGATTAATTTATTAATCCTCATAGCTTAAGGTATTTGATACACGTCTGTGCTGCATGTTTTATTAATAACTAGCGACCCGCTCCAGCTTCGCACGGGTGCAATGCTGATACTAAATATACTACAGAATGTCTTTATACACAACATTCGCAGCTTTTTTGTTATTAGACAATACAAATCGGCCCCCCGGCCGGTACCGCCGCAACCGCTATGTCCCTGCATTTTAAATCTGTAATACCTTCGAAAATATTCATTTAAATTACATGCTGTAAAGGGCCATATTGATCAACATTAAATGCACAATGTATTTAAAAGTACTTAATTGGATAAGGATTAATGCTGTATTGCTTAAAATCGCTTCGTAAATAAGCCATTATTTCTTACAAAAAGTAATGAATAAAAAATGGTTATTGTGGGTTATCCCTAAGAGATAGACATATACCATCGGGGACTTTTTTGTAAACCTTTTTAAGGTGTACAATACTGTAGTACATTATTTTGATCTATCTCGTAAGGTTCAGCCAGCGTTTGCAATGTAAGCGCAAAAAATGTATTTATTTACGACATCACATTAGAAACCTCTAAAATTACCAGTGTTTCTCTACTATATTTTGCATGTATTATACATATAAACCTGCCTCTTGAATCACTCTATCTATTAAAAAAAACGCATCAAAATCCGTTGCGTAATTTTAAAGATCTAAGCATACATAGGGACAAACAGCGAGAAGCGGCTTTGTTTTATACTATATAGTGATGGTGATTTTTGTAAGAATTTTGCTAGATTTTCGAAACCGTTATACACTGTTAATTATACACTTTTGTGCTATTTTTATGAGTACCTTACTTCTTCAAAGTACAAACAAATAATTGTGAGTAGCTGTGAATACCGCGTGAGATACAATTCAGCATGCTATTAAATTACTTTACCGCAAGCTTGGGAATGTTCACTTATTAACACTGAGATGTGTGGTGATTATGAATCATTATCTGATGAGGCCTTAATGCATATATTAAAACGGAAATTATGATATTAAGTCAAAGAGCATCGAGTTGCGAAGAATTACACTTAAACTCTGGATGTGCTCTTGATATTCACTGTATTTTTTATTCAGCATACCGGAAAACCATGATCAGAATCTCATTCTTTCTACTTTCCTCTTTCTCTTCTTGTAAAAATTTGTGTTTATGGCTTGTATAATAACTTCTGCTACACATTATTTTTACATATGTACATTCGTTAAGGATATAATTAACCTTATTTTTATGAAATATTCTTATAAAAACTGCTGACTCGCTGATTCATTAAAAGACTGCAGTAAAGGTTGAACTTCTAAACCGGATCTGTAAAAATTAAAAAATGCTTGAGTAATTTAGGAACGTAACATATTTTTCGCAAGTTCTAAAGCTACATTTATACTATTATTATACAATTTACATATTTCAAAGCTTTTTGGGAAAAATATAAATAATAATATACATTTGTTCTCTTCCGTCTCTAGAATTTTTACCTCATTACTGTGAAAGAAATTTTTGTTAAAATGGAAAGGTGTACTGTTTTGCATATATATTATACAGAGTGTTTCAAAAATATTGCAGGAACGTTAGACATATTACACACTTAATTCTTGACTACTAAATCATATTATACGATCCTTACTCGACACACCAACATTCATTTACTTATATTTAGACATACTAAATTTTATCATCGCAACTATTTTTATCTGTTAATTTTGTAAACATAGAAACATTAAAGGTAATTGATTACGATTTCATCATCATCAGAAGGTCGTCAGTCCTAAGACTGGTTGGACACGCACCTCCACTCCTTCCTATCCTAAGCTAATCTTCGCATTTTCCTAAATCTAGAACATCCCACATCCTTAACTATATGCGAACAGTAATCTAATCTACGTCTACTTCTACTTCTTTTAACTTCTGTTTCTGCCTCTAATATGTCTCTGACTAAACCTTCATGCCTGAGAAGGTGTCCTACCAACCTATCTCGCTTATTTCTTATTGACTTTCATAGAATCGTCTGTTCACCTATTATTTCTAATACGTTTAGAATCATATCAGCTTTGATATATACTCTTGTTAGTTTGAAATGTTCAGGGCAGAATCCTGTCAAATGACCCACAATTTTAGTAGATCATTTTTTCATTCAAGTAAATAGCAAACGATTGATTAATCAAGAAACCCGTTAATTGAATTAAGCTTATCAGATGCATTTGAATTTTATCACCTCAAAAGTATATGTATCATTCAATTGACATGTTTTCCAGTTTCAAGATTGAATACGGCAATTTCCCAGAGTTTTCCTAAATATAATGCTTGTGGGTATTTCACATTAAAATGATACCACTTACGAATTTTAAGACGACTGTCTATAATTTTAAAGAGTGGATACTAAGTATATAATTAAAGTAACTAAAACTCATACTTAATCGTTAGATTATGTATCAGCTCCATCTCTAGGGTTCCTCAGAAAACACAGCAGGGTCCTTTGCTCTCTGTATTAGATATAGATCAACGATATAGCTCATTTTCTTTTCAGAATTATACAAGCCTTTCATGGAATAAAAATTATTGAGGTTTTTGTTGAATAAAAATTTTCATACAGGCTTATTTATATTGATAAATGAATAAATGTTATTAAAAAATAACGTAAAATAATATTAAAACAATAAGTTTTAAAACCATCGAAAATACTAACAAGTAAATCTAAATCATTTCTGTAAATATCTACGAACATCTTGTTCCAATTTTACAGTAAATTTGTATGATTTTCTATCGTCAAAAATTTTATAGACCGTATTGGCTTACTTTTAAGATTCTGTTCGAAAACCACCCTACGACGCTATAGTACGTATTGCGGCACAGCCTTCTTCTACAGAATTTAAAAATTGGTATGCTTTTTATCTTTTATTAAAAAAATGTTAATACATAATTTATAATTTAAC